AGATAGTAGCTGAGCACGCCGAGATCGCTCATCTCGAAGTTTTTCGACATCTCCTTCTTGAACCTTCCGAGGACTTCCATGTCACCTCCAGTGATTATGAGGTCGTCGACGTACACTCCCACGATTAGTCGCTTCTTGTCATGGCCGTGCGTGTACATGCCATGCTCAGAGGCGCAACGTTTGAATTTCAGTGACAGTAAGGTACTATCGAGCTTCGCGTTCCAGGCTCGTGGAGCTTGTCGAAGTTCGTAGAGTGCCTTGTGCAGGCGCAATACTTTATTGGGGTTGTTGTTATCCACGAAGCCAGGTGGTTGTCGGACATAAACAGTCTCCTTCAGCTCTCCGTTAAGGAAAGCAGACTTTACGTCCATATGGTGAACTTCCCAAGAGTAATGTGCTGCAATTGCAAGTAAGAAACGAACGGATTCTAACCTTGCCACTGGCGCAAATACCTCTTCGAAGTCCACTCCTTGCTTCTGGACGTAGCCCTTCGCCACCAGACGGGCCTTGTGTTTCGCAACTTCTCCTTTTTCGTTGCGCTTCAGTTTGAAGACCCATTTGAGCCCTATGGCTTGGTGTCCCGGCGGCATATCCTCCAGACTCCACGTCTGATTTTCGGTGATGGATGTCATCTCCTCCTGCATTGCCTTCAGCCAGCACGGGTTCATTTCTGCTTCGGCGAAGGTGTTCAGTTCATCTGCACTGATGGCATGTAGTTCGGCCACTTCTTCGAGCTCGCGCACTGCCAGTCCAGGTGGTTCACCTCCTCCTACTAGGTCGTCCATCCTCCGGTACCTGACCTCCAGATCAGTATCGTGATCGGCATCCAGCATCGAATCCGCAGTCCGTGGTGTTGCGAATTCCACTGGTTCAGGGGTTGCACCTGCTGGCGGCGGTGACGGCTGCTGATGCTGGGCTCCTCCTTCTTCCGGCTCAGTGACGAGGTACTTCACCGTAAATTGATTTGGATTATGGTCTGCCTCGATCACGTCATTCCACTGCCAGAAGGTGCTTTCATCGAAGACGACGTCGCGAGACACGTGAGCTCGCCCCCCTACAGGATCATATAGTCTGTACGCCTTGCTCCCGGGTTCATAGCCGATAAAAACGACCTTCAGCCCCCTAGGATCGAGCTTGGCGAGGTGGGGACGTGTTACCTTCATGTGAGCGACGCAGCCGAACACGCGAAAATGATGTACTGCTGGTTTTTTGTTGTACCAGGCCTCATATGGTGTCTTCCCGTCAAGGCTTCGGGTTGGTGACCGATTGAGGAGATATACGGCCGTCATTACTGCCTCTCCCCAGAATCTCCCAGGCATCCCGGCCGTCATCAACAATGACCTTGCTGTCCCGACGATGGTCTGATTCCGGCGCTCCACCACTCCGTTCTGTTGGGGGGAGTAGGGCGCCGTTAGGTGCCGTTGTATGCCGATTTCGTCACAGTAC